CCCCAAAACCCCAAAACCCCATAAGCCTTATCTCTATCATTATCTGAAAACAATAAAAATCTAAAAATAATCTGATCATCCTCATCCGATTTAAATCTAAGAATAATCAGAAATTGGGCTAAAGAAATTTCTCATCACTTTTCGTGATCATAATCATCATCTTCATCTTCATGATGTTTTTCTAATAAAAATGCTGACATACTACTTAGTAAACAGGCTATTGCCATTGATATTAAAGGTACATGACCTTAAATCTCAGCAACTAATGGAGCTAGCATGGCAAAGAACTTACCTTTTGCACAGAGGTAGCTAAAAACTTTGGAGGAATGTAATATCGGGAAATAAAATGTCGTAAGCACATAGCATAAGCTAATTGCAGTAGAGACACCAAATTTTGCGATCAATAGAGAACTAATGATGTGGATACTATTCTTTTCATCAATAAAGCTCAAAAGCAAACCAAAAGTGCCTCCCAAGATAAAAGACGCTGTCATAGTCTTTGAACTGCCATATTTAATTGCAAGTGGGCCTGCCACTTAACAAGCAATAGCCTCGGCAATGGCAGACACAATATAGTTCTAATAAATGTCACCAGGAACGTATTTAAGATAGAATCCAATCATATAATAAGAATAGGAGCTAGCACACCATGCCAACAGAAGAGCCCCATAATTAATTTGGTACTTTTTGACACTAAGCACATCACTAAGTGCTGATTAATTTATACCTTTTGCTGGTCTAGTGCTATCACTGTAAGCAATTGTAGATAGTGTGTTATTTTTGTTGCTCACGTCTAATTTATCTACTTATATTTCTGACCAAAATTTGTCATTAGTACTTAAGGGTTATTTTCTATTAATTTAAGCAATCTTGTTGAAGGATGCTCTCGCATCATTGAATAATCTTTTCTACAATAGATATCTAGGTGACTCAGGCATAAAATAGCTGATAATTAATGGTATGCAGCAGATGCTAAAAAAGAAATAGTATAGGTAACTCCAATCTTTTGAAATATATTTGAAGTAAACTGAAGCTATAATCATGGTGAAAGAGTCCATGCATAAACTAAGGCTACCCATAATAGAGGCATGCTGTTCTTTGAAGACTTCAGAACCATAGATGAAGCTTAAGTTAAGTCTGATTGGTGACAGGAATCCTAGAAAAAACAAAAACACATAGGTGAAGTAAAAGCTCACTTATACAAAAATTATGCACCCAAAAGCTACAAGACTAAGGAATAACCCGATTCTGAGTAATCTGATACGTCCATATTGATCGCCCAAATGTGCAAGGGTAAGTGTACCTATCCCAAGCCCCATAAAAAACACAGAGCCGAAGAATCCGATCTAATACTATGTGGCACATCGGAGGTTCAAAGGCTCAACCCAATTATGAAGACTTGTCTAGCTGTCCCAGTTTATATAGTAGCCATTCTAAGTAGGATCAATACTGCTATTTTCACCATTTTTGAGAAAGTTATTGAAAGTAGTTTAACAAGTGATGTTTGCAGTGCATTTGGATTCTTCTCCGTTCTTAACACATCTGAAATCAGGCATCAACGTCAGCAACGCTATGGTGTATACCGTATACCCATCGAATGAATAGGATATCACGCACATTAGGGCTGCGATTAATTAAAATTTGTCTACAATTTTATTGAGTAAGCAAGAATAATATAAATTTTATATGTATACTTAATGAGCCCACTCTGTCGAAGACTTAGTCAGCAGTGTAGACATTGAATTTTGATTTTGGCTTTTTATCTAAAACATAGTAAGTGCTCATTTTAGATTTTTACAATTTTTAAATTAACTTTTGAGAAGAAGAAATTTATTTTAATTTTGTAGAATAAATTATATTTGCATTGCGGGGTTTTGGGGTTTTGGGG